TATTCTTAATAGTAACCCAATTCAATTGAAGATAATATACACAATCGAAGGGTCTTGTCCTTCTTCTTTGCAAACAATACCAGAGCGCCCCAAGGTGAAGTGCTCGATCTAATAAAATCCCTATTCAACAATTCTTTCAATTGGACCTTGAGTTCTTGCAACTCAGCTGGCACCATCCTATGCAGAGTCATAGAAATAAGCGATGTACCAAAATACAACTCAATTGTGAAGTCTACATCCCTATGTAGAGGTAATCCCGGTAATTCATCAAAAAAAATATCCTCATACTCACACACCTCCCGAGGTAGACCCAACTCCTGTCTCGCCTCGTCCTCTAGGGTAAGGCTTGCTAGCCAACCCATCAACTGTCCATTCCACCGAGAATCATATACGACTTGGGGTAAAGCATCATGCTTTTTTCCCTGAAACTTGAAACAAACACTATCAGGCGTATAAGCAGTGATCCTTTTTCGATCACAATCAATGATGACTCGATGAGCCGTTAACCAATCCATCCCCAGGATAACACCGAATTCTGACATGTCCATGACCCTAAAGTTCACAGTGAGTAGAATCCCTGAGATCTCTAGCTCACAACCCTGATATATCTGATCAACTTTCACCCTGACTCCTAGGGGAGAACTCACATGCAATGGTTCTTTTAAGGTTTCAACCTCTAAGCCCAAATCTTTCACACATAATGTAGCAATAAAATAATGAGATGCGTCAGAGTCAAATAATACCCTTGCCCATAAGCGAGAGAGTAGAAATGTTCCCTATATCACCGACTAATCTATTAGCTCAGTCTGAGGTATGATGGCGTAACACGCCCCTAGGTCCTCGAAGTACCGGCTTGTGAGCTCTGTCCTCGACCCATACCCTGACCCATCTGGCCTGATTGAGGAGTCCCTGCTCGTGAAGTAGTAGGGACCTATGTAGCACCCTAGAACTGATACTAGCTCCCCTGGCCCATGGTGGGGTAGGGAGGAATGTACTGTGTCTGTAGTTATCCCACCGAAGATTGGGATTGGGATGCTCCATAGCTCTGAGATCCCTGTTGCTGAGAACAATCCTGCCTCATATGTCCCGTTTGGTTGCAATGATAGCAAGTCCTTTGGCCTGCCTGGTAGGAAGGCTTTTGATTTCTCCCGCCTTGGGAGGATTGACCTTGGTCTTGGCCTTGATAGCCACAGCCTTGTCCTTGCTATCCTCGAGAAGTGAAAGTCCTTTGCCTCTTCCCTGCACTAGAAGAAGAGGATTGATCCTCCTTCTTATTATCTTTAACACCCGTTTCCCAGATGTTCCATGCATCTTCTACCTTCCTCTCAATGGTCATAGTTGTTGTGACCATCGAGTCCAAGTCTTGCAATAGGAGGCCCACAATTTTGCCTCAAATGGACAACTTCAAGCCCTCCTCAAACTTCCTCACCTTGGCCATGTCTGTGGCCACATAATCGTCGACAAAACGTGCTAATTTCGTGAACTTAGTCACATATTCCATCACCGAAATCATTCCTTGTCTCAAGTCTAAGAACTCTCGTGCCTTTGCATGTCTAGCAGCTGTCGGGAAATACTTCCCCGTGAAGAGCTTCTTGAATTCTTCTCAAGTCATTACCTCCAAGTTGTTGGAGTCCTTGACTCAATCCCACCACAATTGGGATTCTCCCTCCAGTTGAAATGTTGCTAGGGTTATCTTGGTGGCGTCGGAAATGATCTGGATAGCCCTAAAGATTTTGTCAACTTGCCGAAACCAATTGTCAGCTACCATCGGATCCGCCCCTCCCTTGAAGATCAGAGGCTGGAGTGCCTTGAACCTCTGGAGGTGATTTGAGTCTCCTTGACTTCCACTTGCACTAGCTTGTGCAATGGTAGCAATTGTAGCACTAGCTTGTGCAATTGTAGCAGCCGCAACACCAATAGCCTCCATGAAGGTTTGTTGGTCAAAGGCCGGTGGTGGTTGATTGTTCCACCCACTACCTCGGCGTCCTCTTCCTCTATTTGTCATCTACACACATGTAAGATAACAATAGAACATTCACATAGTGTCCCAAGATAGGGATCACAATTGAAACGTTGACAATTTTTTTTTTCTCATTGTCTCACTAGTAATGCATGTGCCACCTACTAGTAAACATATACACATTGAACTATACAATTCATTCTTGTTCCGATCCCTAAGGTTTTGTTTTCTAACTCTAGTGTCACTTCCTTTCCATATACATTTCTATCATGCATATTTTATTTCACATAACACATAGCACAAAACATGTAACAAATATAAACACATAACATGAAATGCACCATGAATGCAATGGTCTAGACCCAATGCCCATTAGCCCTAGGTAATCACATACCTATGCTCTGATACCAAGATGTGACACCTTAAAAATCGGGAGTCATTAATTTAACAAAATTTGGACAAAGTCTCCTTTGTACGGAAAGCTCTATCCAAAACACAACCTGTGCAATATACATTCACATGATCCATTTAAGGCCCAATATAAAATAATGACCTCACCGGGTCCATTTATGAATAAACATATAATAGCATGCAAGATTTCATTAAAATAATCTAAAAACTAACTTAGTGAATATTTTACAAAAACATAGTTTTCACAATAAAACTCTATATATACAAGTTCCATTGCAAGTAATTGCATATAATTACATGTCCAAAAACAAAATTTTTAAAAAACTTCAAAACAAAAGCCACATTCCGGCTTTCTTCATCCATGGGGCTTGGATTGGGAGCCTTCCACCGATGTGTATCCCGCACCTAAAATGTTTGTCGTATAGGGTGAGTTAACGCCCAGTAGAGTTATTCCTACAGAGGCTACTCCTCACCTAAGTGCATATGTAATGTTTACAGTTAACATTCATATCAAACAACATTCCAAACAAAGTATAAAATTTTATGTTGGAATTTCACCATGTCATGCTATGGAATGAGATGAGACTCACTCATGCACATCCACCCGAGCCCTCACCGACTCCCATCACACAATACAATGCATGTGTAAAAACCTTTATAATTAATGGAATACATCCAATGATCATTTTTAAAATACAAACTACGTGTTTATAAAACCAACTCATTTTTTGGATGTTTCCCTTATAATGAATACTTTATCTTACAAAATCATGTGTCTTTGTTGGGTATTGGATTCCGGAATCACACCGACTAGCTCCATACGCCATTATACTTCTTCAAAATTTAACCTCAGGGAAGTGTATGAATCAAGTAGCCGGGATTTTCACCCGAGGGAGTGTCTAGCCCTCCTTGCTATACCCGACACAAGTTTTTCTTATGCAACCATTTGACTCCCTTTGGATCTTCAATCTCACATTTTCGAGTCCACATATCAATCACCAAGAATGGTATTTGATTAAACCATGCATACACACCCACACTCATGTCTAAGCCCATGAATGTGATGTCAACCTCATGCCCAAAATACAAGGATGTCAAATGAGCAATTTCAATAGTCATGACATATCCATGTGTAATGAATCCCATATGGATTATTTCTATCACATTTCAACACTTACATTTTCAATGTAAATCCTCTCATAAGCATATGATTTCAACGCACCATAACATCCAAACATGTTATTTCAATTTTATCAAAATGACACTTCAATCATTCAAGGCATTTATCAAATTCTCATACAAGGCATAATTTATATAGAAACATAACATGCCCACATAACAGCCTCAAAACCAAGCCGCATAACTGCCCCAAAATAGGCCGCATAACAGCCCTAAAATAGTCCCAAAACAATTCATAAAACAGTCCCAAAAAAGTCCACAAAATAGCCCACATAACAGCCCCTTATGAACACTATAAGTTAGAAATGAATCGGAGTAGGAAGGAACCCTACCTCTTGAAACGTAAATCGAAGGCTAGAACTTCAAGAACACCAACCAAAACCTCTAAAACTTAATTTCTCCAAAATCTCCCCTTTGGATCTTTGGTGAAATCCTTCATTCTTGGTGTGGTTGTGTAGCCCTCGTCGATGTGATCGACTTTAACTCTTGGCTCGATGGAACTCCGAGAATCGACGAGAGAAAATTTGTTTTCTCTCTTTTCTCTCACTCTTTCTCCCACACGTTTAAGGGCTGAATTGCAGAGATATTTCTGATGAAATAGCTGATTTTTAACCCTATTTATAGTTTTAAAGACTTAGCTCACATCGAGCCACACGCCTCCCCACTTGTTCAGGTCTGTTTTTCGTCCTGAAATAATTAATTAAATTCTGGTTTAAGTTCAAATTAATTTTATTTGAACTTTAATCTAATTCTAAGAAAATTTTATAAAACTCATTTTTGGGGACGTTCGTGAGGTCATTCGTCACCCAATTATCTCGTAAAACGTGTAAATTCAATTATCTCAAAATTCGATTAAAATTGACATAACAACTCGATTTCGTGATACAAATTCAGCAGTGAGATCCGTTGCATCATCCGAGCTTTAGAAAAATATGAATTTTAAACCCGCATTATAAGGACAAATTACTATTTTGCCTTTTTTTCATAAAAAATTTAAATTTTTCAGGGTTTTACATATATAGACTCATCGGCAGGATCGTCTTATTACAAGAGATATTGTGATTAGGTCGATGGATCCCATTGACGAGTATATGATATGATATAGGTGTATAATACATTGTCTGGTCGCCCTGCCTATTAGTTGGTCACCGGTTGGTTTTCAGCTTGTTGGCAGCATCATTGAACTGTAGGAAATAATTTCATAGTTATTTAATTATTTTAGTAATTTTAAGTAATACTCAATACATATGTTAATTTTATTAATATACTACGACTTTTGTTTGTAGGAGAACACACTCACAAGGATATATCACACTTCATGATATACCTATAAGGCCAGTCTAGATTTGGCAATTTGCATGTAGACTATTGGATATATAAGAGATATAAGCTTTAGGTGTTTAACAACACTTCTGGAGCATCGACGACTTGTGCATTTTCCATCCACAACTCATGATGTTTCATCTACATCTTCGCAGCCACCAACACATATTGATTTTTCTTCTACATATTCGCTAGCACCTCCTATAGATTCACCTACACTGCCACTTACACTTGTACCCCCACCAAGAACTATATTGCTAGTTGCACCAGCACCTGCAAAATCACTTGCACAGTCAGATTAACATACATCGACAGTTGTACATGCAACACCTACTACCCCTATATTGCCACTTGCAGCTGCATTACTGAATTCACCTGCATTGCCATCTACAACTACAGTTGATGCTTCAATATCCTTATAGCCTATGTCAGATGTTGATGTTTTCCCACCACTATATCCACCAATTGTCTTCGCAATTGTGACACCTACAATTCTAATAACACCATTGACTACACTTGCAGAAGTTATCATTTGAACACCAATACCGTCTCATGCAGCAATGAGATCATTGCACACTTAACATACAACACCTTCTAATGATGCAATACTACAAGATTCTATGTTATGTGAGGATAGGTTGACACAGGAGGCAACACTTACAGTCAGAGATCATGGGAGAGCTGGACCAAGAGTTCAAAGCATACGACAAGGCTGGGGACAGGGCATGAGTCATGGACATCATCCACATCATGAGATGATGTCAATGTTTCACAGGTGACACAGGAGGTACCACATAAGATTGAGCATGAGTATCGAAGATAGCCCAAGCGACATAAGCGACCACCTCCATGTGACACTTAGTTTTGTTGTCGTATTTTGGTAGTTGTACTGTATAGACTTTTTAAATGGTTTCATATAATCATTTTATAAATTTCAATTGTATTGTTAATCATGTTGTCCCATAGAAAACCAATATTGTACACAACACATTTAAACCAACTTCAACATAATTTATTTAAAAAAATAATAATTAGCACTAACCTTCCAACAATACATTTAATAGAATAACATAATGTAAATAGCATAATGACAATATTAACTAGATGTTATAACACAATAGTAACATAACGCTTAACCATGTTTCATGGGTTTATATTTTCGTCAGACATCTCGACATCAGAAATACATCTAGCTTCCCCACTTAAGAGAAAACTTATACGTGTTTCCTCTATCAACCCTTCTTCAGCACAATCTTGTGAGAGGTGACAGAGGGTTGTACTGAATTAAACGGATTTTCACGCAATTGTTCTCAGCTCAAAAATGAAACAAAGCTCACTTCAATTGTTGAGGAGTGTCAAATGGAATATCAATGGTTATTTGTTGAGGCCTTTGTATATCGCAAGTATGCAAATCTGCATTTAGATTTTTCCTTTCTATCAAATGATATTGTAATTCGGCCCTCATTGTGCTTACGGCCCTACTTGAACAACGTAAACGAAGATTTAATAGATAGAAGAACTCATCATCTAACGCCCAATTATAATCCAAACTTTGAAATAATGTTCCCATAATATAATTCATGGTTCGAGATTAATTGTGTACAATGAGTCATTTACACACGGTGGATAAATAGTCTCAAAGAAATTGTTTGTGTTTTTGTACTTGCATGACTTTTAGGCAAGCCACGTGATGAAGTGACAAAATCATGAAATTGTTGACGAACCATGTGCTGCCGTGACTACACACAGTTGGCAACATTGTGTGAATATAGACTGGTAAGCTTTTCAGCAAACCATGCATTGCAATGACAAAATCCTAATTTTTCATGGACACTAATGTGGAGAGGACATGGGCATCACACTCATGTAGTGACTACATACACATACTTGATAAGGCTGGAGACTCTGATATAGTGATAAATTGACTACGTACTAGTGAAAGGACTTTAGATGAGTGTGACGCCTGGCTACACATTGATGACTTGACATGACTACACCCCACTAATTTACCTCAACACTGTGTGAATATGGACTGGTGATGATTTTTTTCAACAAACAATGTGCTGAAGTGACCCACTCGTGAAGTCTACGCACTACTGATATGGTTGTACAACAATGTCATTATAGATTATTGGCATAACTGGTCTTGTCAATCAGTCTATTGCCCAAGACTTAATTATGTTTCAATAACTCATCTTTTTCAACAGCACAATGTTTGAATTGAATCAACTTTTATATAACCCATGTGCTGAAGTGAAAAAACCCTGATAGTGTACGATCAGAGTTTTGAAACCATTATATAAATATCTTATGCATGGTTGATATAGCATACATTGTATATTATGTCTACATAAAGAGGCTCTATAGTCTATACCAATTGTAGACGTGTCGTTAAAAGAGAAAAACGATGATTACAAGAGTGAGAGATTTTTCAGTCCAAAAGAGTGTTATGCAGGAAAATTATGAGAGTGGGCATTTCGTACTAATGAATCAGATGTATTATGCATACAACTAAGAGAACTTGAGAACTTGGTATATTGGTGCCCCATAGATGTTCACTAATGATGCAACAAAGGAATAGAAAGGACTACAAATCAACAGTAAAATATGTTCGAAGAGAGAATAATAGAATAATGGTGTGTAGGTGTCAATATTATATTCTCCAACTAGAAATAAACATGGTGGGTACTACATATGAAAACACTGTCTTGTCTAATGAACAATACCTATCAGATGATCATATGTTGGATGAAGATTAACAATTGTACTCAATACCCTAATGTTAGTTTCAATCTCATATCTTAATAAGTGTTAATCATTCTTAAGTAATCACATAGCTTTATCAGTGTGATCAGTGTATTGTCATATCACAACTTTAACAATGTCAAGTCATGTCATTATTTTATCAGTGTCAAGTCATGTCACAACTTGGCAGTATGATGTCATGTCAAATTTCTATATAATTTCATTTTTAATTTTAAAATGCATAATCGGACCTATATAAACCAGCATTTATAACTGTGTAAATCATACAAAAAATAATGTCTAGGTACACATCAAATAAGCAATCTAGTTAATTCATTTTTAGCCAATGAATGTCAATGCTCAACTGATCGACCAACATCTTGGAACATAGTTCTTTCTATTGGATTGTATACAGATTTCGGTGGTGTAAGGTGGTATGGATAAAAGCGTAAGTTCTACAATGAGCACATTGAAACTTAAAACTCATTAGGGCACGTTGGACGTGTAATTGCTAAGCCTAAAACCTATAATATGTCTTCAGGTGCTCATATTAAACCCACATTAAGATGGCTAGAGTTACATGACAAATGTTGTGAGCTTGACGTATATTGTCGTTGCCATGAACTAGCAGTAAGAAATCCATGTTTGACTGATATATACTATCCACGGAACTCAAACAACCATAATGAGATCATAGCTAGGCTTGATTGTTTGCATGTAATCAAGTATGCAAAAATTGAGTATTTCGATCCTAACTATGCCGAGATTGAAATTTTAGAGGATCTGCTACTGGTTTTCGACCTGAACTTTCTAATTTTTCATATTTAAGTGGCGATGTGTCAAACACTTATTCCATCAAGTTTATGTATATGTGGTTAACCTTTGTGTTATTATGCATATTAACCACATAATTGACATATTGTAGTTTATATAGTGTTATGTAATAAAAAAAATTAATGCACAAGTATCATTTTTTCATATGCGCATGTTTTGTACAATTTTGGGGGAATAATCAAATTGTTTGATGGACTTATGACATTGTTTTGAAAAAGACTAATTATTTTAACATAAAAAAATGGAAGACCTGATGAATTGTATCACAAAATTCATTTATGTTAACAAATTGTATTTTTATGCATTTTATGCGATATCATGCAATGAATTTACTTTTTTTTATTCATAAGTTGCATTTTTGGGTACGTTTATGGTTTGTAAAATTTTGGAAAAAAAATGGCTTTGTTCGATGAACAACATTTAAAGACGTCATTTCAAATGATATTTTTATTAGAGATATGATAGGATCAAAAGAAATCCATCAATATCTAGGTAGAGATACAATAGGATCCAAATAGATCCATCGACATCTAGGTTTGTTTAGATAAATATAGATGATGATATAAATATATAATTTATATTTATCTTTGGTAATTCTCACCCTATAAATAGGATTGAGCCCCATGTAATCAATTACCGAGAAATAATGCATTGATGTAACCCATTAGACAATTAAGTTCGTAGATGTAGGCACATTGCAGATTGTGCAGAACCATGTATATCTTTGAGTCCTATTTCTCTACCCTTTCTTATCTCTAATATCAGTTATATTATGATATTTCTACATAATATCAGAGCGGGTTGGTCAAACCTTTGAATTTGCTTCTGCTTTATCCACAATTAACAGTTCTTGCTATTTGCTAATCTTTCGCTATTATGTTTTAATTTTAAATTTTTTGACTCAATTTTGTAGTATATAAATACTTTTTGACGGTTCAATTTCATTCATGTCTTTATGCAAATAGAGTCAAGTGTAGGCTATGATCAAGTGAATAACTATAGCTCAAGAATCAAGCATGTTTATGGTTCTCAAACCATTGGCAGTGCTTTGTTTGCACCACCAAGTGCTATAAAAATCTAGCCATAACTATAGAAAAAAGAGGAAGAAAAGAGAAAAAAGTTGGAAAAAAAAAAAGAAGAAAAAAAGGATTGAAAAAAAGGGAAGAGAATGAGAAAAAAATTTTCCCACATTATCTTCATAGGGGAGTTTGAGGAGGAGTTTCATCACCAAAGCTACATCATCCCATTGACAAACAAACACCCCAAGTTTCAATTCAAGTTGGACAGTTTCATTGATTTCAGTGTACCGACTTAAGGGGGAGTATTAGAGATATGATAAGATCAGAAAAATTACTAATATCTAGGTAGAGATACGATAGAATTCAAAGAGATCCATTGATATCTAAGTCTATTTGGATAAATATAGATAATGATAGGAACATTAGACATTTAGGTCCAAGGACGTATGCACATTGCAAATTGTGCCGAAGCACATATATCTTTATGTCTTGTTTCCATTCCCTTTCATGTATTATTTCTCAATAATTGATTATATGGGGCTCAACCCTATTTATAGGGTGAGAATTACATAAGATAAATATAAATCATATATTCATATCTTCATCTATATTTATCCAAATAGACTTAGATATCAACGGATCTTTATAGATGCTATTGTATCTCGTCCTAGATATTGATGGGTTCTTTTTTATCCTATCATAACTCTTATAAATTTATGACTAAATATATCCAGCCTTAAAAAAATTTTCTCATATTTAAAAACGTCATTTAAAATGCAAATGACATATTAAAAAAGATATTGGGTTTGAAAAATAAGTTTAAATATAACTGATTTTCGTAAATAAGAATCTAAGGGGAATGAGTATGGTAAAAAGCTCTATTTTTTACGTTACCTCAAGTAAAAGATGATTGTTATGTCTCTTCAGAAATGCT